TGAACCTTTCTCAGACACCTTTCTAAATAACACTTATGTATTTTGCCTAAATGTCTAATTGTAAGGATTAAATAAACAACCCCTCCCTCTGTAATATAAATAATATATCAATATTTACTTGAACATCTAGCCATTAGACATTTAGGCAAAATACACAAGTGTTATTTAGAAAGGTGTCTGAGAAAGGTAAAGGATGTATAAGTATTAAGAATAAAATGTTAAATAAATACAATTTATTTTTGAGAAAATATTGTGAATACATTAGTTTTATAATTATAAATTTAAATAATTATTATAATTTAAAAATATTTTTTATAATAAACAAATATTAATTAAGTAAATTTGATATAATTAAATACAAATAAATAATATGTTTGGCGTTAATCAAGAATGTTATGAAATCTAACGTCAAAATTAAATATTTTATATTTAATCGTAACATAGGGATGGATTGGCCGAACGATTAACCATAGAACTAACATTAATCATAGATTTTTAACAAAATTGTTGCTATGTCAATTAAAACATTATTTATATAACACTTACAGCACTCATAGGTTGTGGTAATTGATTGACGCGTCGAGTTATGGGACGCGAAACTTGCGTTTGTATTGAATTACCGCTAATTGATTGCAAATTTTGTGTTATATTAAAGAGTGTTACGTTAGGTGTAATAATGGGTGGATTATTGATATTAATGTTTTGCTTTTTGACAATACAGGTTTGGTATTTAATAAACAATTGTATGAATAGATTAGTGAACATAAATAGTGAAAAACCAAACCATAGGCCCAGAAGTGATATAATGAAAGCCAAATACTCTTCAAATGACATTTTCAATGATATTTCGTATATTATATTTGGTTCTATGGGTCGACTCAAGTAAATAGAAATTTTATCTTTAAATGGGTAATTTGTCGCTTCGGAAAAATAGTATTGACTGATATAATAGTCTTGTATACATTCTATTTTTTTTATTGCATTCACGTTCGCAAATTAATTTAAATTTTTCGAAAAATTCATTATAAATTTTAAAATGAATAACATGAGTCCGATTTTTAAACCCATCATTGTCATATTGTAATATATTATATGGAAATTGTTCATATTGTCGGTCAAATTCCCGTATAATGCATCCCTTTTCGCACTCCTGACGTGTTTCGCTCGCAAAACATTTATCGCTGTTTAACATGTAATTTAATTTGATAATAAATTTGCGGTAAGAGATTCTTGCATAGTTTGTAAAACTTGTGAAAATGTAAATATCACCCGAGCGTTTAAACGTACGCTGCCGTTCGTGGCGTGAGTGCACGCGAACATTTAGGAACCTAGTCAATGATTTATCGACAACTTGTAATTTAACTGCCGCATTGTAAATAGCACGATCACTTGCTTTGACCGCATAGCGCGCATCTGACTCACCCGTCCATTGAGACAAAACAGTCACACATAACGAGCCATTGCTATAAGACATGGACCGGTGATACGGCGCTATTGCTGTGCAATCATACCACTGTTTTTGACTAATAACATCACATTTAAATACATGATCAAAGTCTACGAGTTGGTCAAGCTGGTGCTTAATGGATTGGTTGTCGAATATATCTGAGTCAAAATGACCATGCTTATTGTAATATTTTAGCTTCATTTCAGATCGTATCAGGTGCTCGCTATCCATGCATACCGTGAGGGCCGGTAAAGTAAACTCATAGTTAAACTTAACATTAGTTGTGGTTTCGTATGAAAAGTATATTAAACTGATTTCATAGGTTTGGTATAGAAATCCACACAATAGTAATGTTTTCAACAAAATTTCTTTGAATAATTTAATTGTCAACATAGTTGTTGAAAAGTAACCTGGTGTTAATATAGAAATTTTAATATTTTTAAATTATATTCTGGCAACATTTAATGGTCTAAACTATTATTATTTGATTAGATAAAATCTGTATTATAATTTATTATTAAAATCAACCAATTTAATATTTATTATTATTTTGAGTAAACTATAGTAATATTTTAATATTAGTTAACTCCTTAGAAACAAACATGAAATACAACAACATTTGCTATCATTGATTGCAATAATATAATATACCTTACATGAAGTACATAATATAATATTCGTAATATAAATAATTTAATAAAATAAATAATAAAAGTAATAAACTGAAATAATATAATAACAAATAAACTCTTAATTATTTGGAGATATTCACCGACCAATCCATAAATGACAAGATGTAATAACTCGTACAGTTTAATGATGTATTTCAATTTAATGTATAATCAAATCTAATAATATAATAAGTGTTACAACAAGTTCCCGGAATGGCACAAGTCTCTAGGAATTAAGGTCAGTCTCAATACTTGCCCACCCTTTGGTGATGGACTAAGTAATTGCATCTCAATGTGTTTTGTATTAAGAATATTATGGATAAACCATTTGTGGTAAAAATTATACGGCAATACCAATTGTAATTAATTGTAATTTAATAATTATATAGTTTGCTTAATCTTTCATAATAAATGCTTACACATGGTAACAATATAAAATATAAAAGTTATCATTTTATTACAACAAAATAAAATTACAGAACAATCTGCGTGCTTAATCGCTGAACAAAAATGAAATATTCTATAGTTATTATTAACTTTACAATAATGTAGTGCTTATTTAATTTAAGAAAATACAAACATCATATTATTTATAGATAAAATATTTACTTTACAGCGCATTAAAATACATTAGCTATAGAGATAACATTATTTATTGATTTATTACTGCAAAATTGATGTTTTGCCATTTTAAACATGATTTATATAACACTTACAACACTCATAGGTTGTTGTGGTAATTGATTGACGCGTCGAGTTATGGGACGTGAAACTCGCGTTTGAATTGAATTAACACGTATTGAATGCATATTATTTGTTATATTAAATAATGGAGTATTAATATTAATGAGAGGTTTTTTAAAGATAAAGGTTTTGTATTTAATAAACAATTGTATGAATAGATCAGTGAACATAAATATCGATACACCAAACCATAGGCCCAGAAGTGATCCAATGAATGCCAAATACTCTTCGAATGACATTTTCAGTGATATCTCGTATATTACATCGGGTTTTATGGGTATAGTCATGAAAATATGAACTTTTTCATGTTTATAATATTCAGTTTTGTATTGACTGATGTAAAAGTCTTTAATACATTCTACTTTGTTATCGCATTGATGTTTGCAAATTAATTTAATTTTGTCGAACGATTCGTAATATGTTTTTAATTGGCTAACATAATTGCAATTTTAAAAATCATCATCATCATATTTTGATATACTATAGGGAAATTGTCCATGTTGTCGATTAAATGTCCGTATCATGCACACCATTTCGCATTCATCACGTGTTTTGCTCGCCAAACATTTATTGCTGTTAAACATGTAATTTAATTTTACAATAAATTTGCGGTTAGAGATTGTTACAAGGTTTTTATTATTTGTGGCGATGGATAAATCACCAGGACGCCTATACATACGTTGCCTTTCGTGGCGTGAGTGCACGCGAATCTGTATGTATTCGGTCAATGATTTATTAGCAATTCGTAATAGAAAACCCGATACACTGTCAATATGTGCTTTCACTGCATAGCGCAAATTTGACTCACCCGTCCATTGAGACAAATACAGTGTGTACAAAAATGAACCTAACAAAAGTAAACTTGAATATTTTGAAAAGTATTCGGTTTAAAAATTCAAATAATATATCAAATTAATTGTCAACTGCGGGAGTTTTTGTTATGATATGGACAAAACGGTTGACCTCTTATATCGAAGCCAATGTCGAAAAACATAAAATATTGACATTTTCTTCATAGACATAATGTTAAATTCAAACTAGTTTTCAATTGAAATCCTGAAATACGTGTTAACTTATTTTATGTTTACTTTAATAATCTTTAAGCAAAATTATTTTTCTGCAGTTAGTTTTTGTGTAATGAAGAATTTGTTGTAAAATTACAATATTTTGTGGAAATAAAAACTGAGAATCTGCCATAGTTAAAAAAAAGTACAAGCATTATTTGAATTCTTATCTTAGATTAATAAAATAAATACGAAATAAGTTGACATGTATTTCAGGATTTCACTCGCTAACCAGATTGAATTTAACATTATGTCTATGAAGAAAATGTCAATATTTTATGTTTTTCGACATTGGCTTCGATATAAGAGGTCAACCGTATTGTCCATATCATAACAAAATCTCCCGCAGTTGACAATTAATTTGATATATTATTTGAATTTCTAAACCGAATACTTTGCGAAATATTCAAGTTTACTTTTGTTAGGTCCATTTTTGTACACACTGTATGTGATACATAAATATCTACTGTTATATACCATTGACCGGCGATACGGCGCTATTGAACTGCATTTATAAACATGGTTTTGATTATAGACATTACATTCAAATACATGATCGAAATCTACGAGTTGATTCATTTGGTCCTTAATGGATTGGTTGGCGAATATTTCTAAATTAAATTTATCATGCTGGTTGTAGTATTTTGGTTTCATCTCAGACCGTATCAGGTGCTCGCTATCCATGCATATCGTGAGGGCCGGTAAAGTGAACTTATAGTTAAACTTGACATTAGTTGTGGTTTCGTATGAAAAGTATATTAAACTGATTTCATAGGTTTGGTATAGAAATCCACACAATAGTTAAGTTTTCAACAAAATTTCTTTAAATAATTTAATGTTGAAAAATAACCTGGTGTTAATAAAGAAATTTTAATATTTTTAAATTATATTCTGGCAACATTTAATGGTCTAGTCTAATAAGTAACTTGGTGTTAAAACGCTTTTTGAACACTTATGAAAATGAAATGATTAATAAAGAATAAACGCGTTTAGCACCTTGAACATAAGAATGTATAACAATCAATAGTACTGTCACACTTATAAAATCAATAAGAAATTAAATTGTTATTTCATTTTAAAGATTTTAACAAACAATATTATTGACTACTTAATATTATGTACTAATTGTTATAACAATTCAATACTTTAATTTATTAACAAAATAACATGATTTAATATACATTTAATAAGTTTAGTAATGATTTTTCCATTATGAAAGTCATTATTAATATAATGACAAAATATTTATGTTTTATTTGCGGATTATGAAAACATTACTGTAATTTCTTTTGCAACGACACTTAAATTGGACAAAAATAATGATGATACAATTATTATATAATTAAATATATTAGATCACGATATAAATAATAAAATAATTTATTCTGGCACTTGCTATAAATGCAATTTGCATTTTGAACAGTCAATGAAATACCGGGTGTCCGCACAGGCGGTCAATGATTGTCATCTGTTGGTCCACTTTATGCTGTATTTCGGTTAGCAATGCATCGATACTATTGGTCTTCTGGTTGAGTATAAATAGCAAATGATAATAATAAAAGTATTATAATTTATTAATTATTGATTATTAATTATAATGTTACAATTCAAGTTGTACGGTTTATTGTT